GATTCGAATCTACCACCTGCTCCTTGGAAACCCTGTACAGGGTGGCTATGAGTCTGAATCAACTCGATGGCATGCAACAACACCTGCAACTGATAAGAATTAGGAAAAGGCGTCCTGATGTGGTGCTGTAGGATCAGCACTGGACTACTAACCAAATGATCAGCAGTTCAAACCCCCTGGCAGCCCCTCAGAAACCCTATAAAGGGTCACTATGAGTTGGAACCAACTTAACAACATTAAAACAACATCAACAACATCATCTGGGATGTACTGTTAGATAAATCAAGCAAACTGCAGAACAATCTACATCGTAGGACCTTCTTTTTGTGACAGAAAAGAAAGTTTTATGTACGATTGTATCATTTGCTAATGCGTAGAAAAGTTCTACACAAACATCTAAGAAACTGGGGCGGGGGAGGAGCTTATCAAATTCCCATTGCAATTGTTTTGAACCATTTGAATGTCTTATTATGAGCATGTGTTATCATTTTAAAAATCAATCCAGTCTTATACCCTGCTCATTGAAGTATTCACATCCTGGCTGCCCTTGATCACTTCCAGGGATGGAGAACACACTACTTCTTGACTTCTTGTTGTTAGGGGCCATTGAATCATCACCAACTCATAGCGATCTTGTGCACATCGGAAAGAAACACTCCCCGGTCCCGTGCCAGCCTCACATTCCTTGCTAACCCTAAGCCCCATCTTGTTGGGCGTCTTCTTTTTCTCTGACCTTACACTTTACCAAACATGATATCTTTCTCCAGGGACTGTGTGCTCTTGATAATTTCTGAAGTATGAAAGATGGAGTGCTACCATCTTGGCTTCCAAGGAGCACTCTGGCTGCACTTCTTCCAACACAGATCTGTTGGTTCTTTTGGCAGTCCATGGTACTTTCAATATTCTCCTCCAACACCATAAGTCAAATGTATCAATTCTTCTATGGTCTTCCTTACTCACTGTTCAACTTTCACATGCATATGAAGTTATTGAAAATACCATAGCTTGGGTCAGGTGCACCTTAGTCCTTAAACTATCTTTGCTCTTTAACATTTTAAAGATGTCTTGTGCAGCAGATTTGCCTAATGCAATATGTCATTCGATTTCTTGACTGCTGCTTCTATGAGTGTTGATGGTTGATCTGAGCTAAATTAAATCTTTGATAACTTCAATCTTTTCTCCATTGATATGAATGTTGTTTATTGGTCTAGTGGTGAGGATTTTTGTTTTATTTATATTAGATGTGACCCATACTAAAGGCTGTCATCTTCAATCTTCATTAGCAAATATTTTAAGCCCTGTTTGCTTTCAGCAAGCAAGGTTGTATCATCTGCATAGCACAGGTTGTTAATGAGTCTTCCTTCAATCTGGATGCCGTATTTTTCTTCATATAACCCGGCTTCTCAGATTATTTGTTCAGCATACAGGTTGAATAAGTATGGTGAAAGAATAAAACCCTGGCGCACACCTTTCCTAATTTAAAACCATTTGGTGTTCCCGTGTTCTGTTCAAACAACTGCCTCTTGGTCTATGTACAGGTTCCTCATGTGCACAATGAAGTGTTCTGGAATACTCATACTTCACAATGTTGTCCGTAGCTTGTCATGACCCACACAGTCGAAGGTGTTTGCATAGTCAATAAAGCTTCCTGAGTACCAGCCAGTAATTTAAGGATCCCCAGGAAATAATTCCTAATTTAAGAAATTTTGTTCTGTTGTGCATAGTATCGCAAAGAGTCCGTATGGACTCGATGGCAGTTAACAACAACAACAACAATTTAAGCAATGACCTCCGTATCTCGAGGGCTGAAGTAGAAGCTTATGATAGTGCCTATCAGTCATATCTTTAGGATTCTAGAGTGGAACAGCTCACTGTTTTGATGGTTACTTCTTGGTATATTTGAACAAAGTAATGTGGGAAATATGTCTTCTGCAAAGAGCCTTTAAGATACTAGAAGAAGACCTTTTAAGAAGCCATTTTAAGGAAGAGATCAAGTGTATATACAACAAAAGGTCCTTGTTTTCAAGCAACCTGATATGTAGGCAGGAGATGGAGAGGGTAAGATGCATACAGACAGAGTTCAAGAACACACATGAATTTGTGAGCCTTGTTACAAACGTGGAAAAAGGCAAGTTGGTGTCAAGTAAAAAGTGATGATATTGACTAGATTCAAGGAAGACTCTTAAATGGAGAGAAATGGAACTTGATCTGGGTTTTGATTGAGAGTTCGGGAGGCATTTGAAGGTGGAACGGTATGAACAGGATTGGGGACTCACAGGGAGAGTAACCAGGAACAAATCCATCTGACTGAGTGGAAAGTGCTTGAGAGACCCTCTTTCCTTTGTGAAGATAATGCCCAGGAGGAGAATTAAGCCCTGTCATCTATGTGGTGCTGTAGGATAAGAACTGGATTTCGAACCATAAGGTTGGCTGTTCAAACCTACCAGCTGTTCCTTAGAAACCCTATACAGGATCACAATGAGGCAGAATGGACTCAACAGCACTTAACAACAACAATGGGTATGTGGGGCCCTGTAGAGAGACCTAGTGGCCAGTCTCATGGTCTAGAGTTTTGGGCTGGGTTTAAGATTAGGGTTAAATTAGGGTTCAGGCAAAGCTTGGTTTAAGATTATGGATAGGGGTGGGACTTTTGTTGTAAGGTACTTTCAAGTCAGTTCCAACTCATAGCAACCCTGTGTCCATCCAACAGAACAAAACACCACCCAGATCTATGCTGTCCTCATATACATTCCGATGTTTGAGATCATTGTTGCAGCACTGTGCCAATCCACCTTATTAAGGGTCTTCCTTGTTTTCACTGACCCTCTACTTTACCAAGCATGGTATCTGTCTTCAAGCACTGGTCCCTCCTGATTAAATGACAAACACGATATGCAGTTTGATTTCTTGACCGCTGTTTGCATGTATTGGGCATGGTATCAGGAGGGACCAGTTCCTGAAGAAGGACATTATGTTTGATAAAGTAGAGGGTGTACAGTTTAGGAGAGAGTTAGAATTGGTCAGTTGAGCTATATGTCTCATATAAGATGCCTTTACTGGAAAGGTCTGTAAATCAACAGGATTTTGATTTCCTGGACTATGGGAAGCATCAGAAGTAAAGACAGAGGCTCTTTTGAAATGTCCTATTTGTTTATTTTTTTTACATTTTTATTTGTTTATATATAAAAGTAAACAAGCATGTAAGTTAACACAATTTCAAGAATATCTGTCCCCACCATTTAGTTTCCTTACAGAACTGTGTGTGTGGTTATCACTGTCCAGTGCATAACGAGAAACAACAAACCAAAAGAATACAAAAAAAAGAAAAAAAAAAAGCAAGTTTTACTGAAGAACATCATGGGGGGATGATTAGGGTCCTACTAGGTTACATTCATTTCACATCTATGTGCAATTCTTCAATAAAGCGATCTTCACTCCATACCTTCTAACTAATAGGTTTTCAAAAGGATGATCTAACGAAACGATGATTTAACATTTTTGTAGCTGAGGCCAAGCTCACATCTCACTCATTCTCCCTTCCCTCTCACGTGTCCACTGCTCACATACAGCAGCCGGAAATGGCACATTGAAGTGAGTCACCAATGCGGCTGTGAGTCACCCTGTAATTGGGGGAAGTTCTGTCCTGGTAGGTCACACAGCCCCTTGCTATTCTGTCCCTAAATATATTGGAAAAGTTTGAAACCTTGCTGTTTTCACTCGTCTTTCTCACCCACCCCACCCTTTTGGTCACTGAAGTGGGGCTGAAGTTGGATAAGCTTTGCAGGGACCCTACTTGGGCCACTGGAAAGCCACGGAAATGAGAGGAAGCAGAAGGGGTTTGGTCAGCCACACGGTGGCAGTGTGAACTCCATCATCACACCTGATGCCTAGAGGGTACGATGGTCAAGAGCGGAGGCGTACCAAGGGGATGGCTAGTATGGCACGTGCCCTGGGTACCAATAAGCAGTTTCTACTGACCTTCCCAGTTTCCTTCGCCAGCTGTGAGACAGCAGTCAGCACTTCAAAACTCATTGCCTTTGGGGTACTATTTTCTGTAGATGTGACTCTAGACCGAAGACCCTGTGACAACCTCTTCCGGCTCACAGACCACAAAGGAACACTATATATTTTTTGATAGTTCTGTCTTTTTCTAACAGGCACACAGGGGAAGGGTGTGATAAATACTCAAACACACTGTGGGGTTCCTCTCCGGCCCCCCTCCCCCACCAGGAGCTGGGAGGCCAAGAGTCAGCACACATCAAAACTCTCCTTCTCTATCCTTGCAAAATAAAGTCGTGTGAAGCAGTCACCTGCTTCTCTGAGTAAACAAGTCACCTACACTCTAAAATAGTATATGCACACTTTCCTGAAGAGGGAGGTAGCCAGGTTAGGTGGGTGTCAGCTCTAGGGAGCAGTTGCTCTGCTGGTCCCCAACACTTTCGATGCCAGAACAGACCTTGAGATGAAAGGGTGTTCTCCCATTGGCCTTCATTGGCCTGATGCCAGCCCCCTCAGCAGCAGCAGACAGTACAAGAGTCAGGGAACGTGACTGGAACACAAATCGTTTCTACAAGCACATAAAAGCTCCTGTAAGCCTGTGGTTTCCTCCTGCCAGGGGCTCAGCAGGAGTCAGGTCTGAAGACCTGAGTGGGCAGGGAGATGGGTAAAAACAGCCATGCACGTGTCCCGATGAGTTTTAGAGTCTGGATGGGAGATCTCCAAGGAGTTATGCTTCAGAGTTCTTTTCCAGGGTCTCCCCTAGGAATCTTGCCCCACGTTCCTCTTCCCACCCTTAAGATAGGACCCTCTAGTGGGAGAGGCTGAGGTCTAGGAGGCAGATTGGGAAGAATTATAAAATCATTTTTGAAAAGGAAAATGTCTTCTCTGTCTCCAGAAAGAGTAATTAAAATAAAAATTCTTTTTTTTTTTTTTTTTCCAGAGTTCCTACTTTTCTGATATATCTCCAATACTGTCCCAGATAAGGTCTTCTTTTCCCATCATCAGGGTTCCATCACCTGACCCATGAAAAGGGCTGTCCCTGGGGATGGAAAAACAATCATTTTTTAGAGTTCAGATTGGAAGAAACCATGCAGTTCCCACTGAGACCCCAAGAAGACGACTGAGTTGTTGGGCATCATAGTCATTCTACGCACTCAGAGAGGACCTGAGGCTACCTCACTGCTCTTGATCTGTTACAAGAAAGTGGGACAGATAGCCAACTGAGGGTGGTGGGCAGCCTTTGCCTACAGTCCTCCTGGGCACAGAGGTGGTGTCTGCATGTCTCTGGGTTGGTGCCCAACACAAGGAGATGCCTGGAGCATCATGGGATTTTAGCTCACCTGTGGGGTTGTGCCACACCACAAAGAGGAAGGGTCTGTCCATGATGATCTCTTCGGGGGCCATTCGGCTTGAAACGACAATGGCTGGAAGAGAAGACATGGTACCTTAGGGCAGAGGTACACTGGCCCTGGTTTCCTGGATAGATCAGCAGCTCTATGGGGAAGTCCTCTGGAAAGTTCTCTGGGACTTGGTTTCTCTCAGTCATATGTTAGAGCTCTATCAGCTATCTAATCACAAGCGTACATTTCTCTAGATCATTTCTGGGTTTCTTAATAAGCAGGTTCCTTAAGTTTACTGTCTGCTGTGGAAACCTACCAGGCTTTTCACATTCAGGGGACCTCAGGTACCATTAGAGGAACAAATCAAGTCCCAGGGAAAGGGGGCCTTTCTGTAGTCCATGAACCACCAGAAGGGGCAGAAAGAACAGCCCTGAGGAGGGGCCTGTGTGGAGAAAGGGCCGTAGTGCCTGAGCTTCATGCTGCCTCATCCTGAGTTCAGGGCCTGGTGATCCTGACGGCCGGAGCCTCAGTGGGCCAGACTCACCTGTGGACGAGGATGCTACGGTACCGCTCTCATTCACCTCGATCCTCACTTTCTGCAGTGCCTGTGACACGTAGAGTTGCTCTTGATCTGAAATAGGCAGATGCAAGGACAGATGAGTGCTCAGAAAGCAGCCCCTCTGCTCTGTCAGAGGGTCTGTGAGCTACTGAGAGAAGAACAAAGTACAAGGACAGTCCTTTACCTGAAAGACTCGTGAAGTCTGCCCGCTCTGGCCTGAACATGTCAACCATGCCTAAGTTCTCCAAGGGCTTTCTGAGGTCAACTTGGCTCTCCAGGGAGAATCTGTGGGGCGGGAGCAGGAGATAGCTCAAGCTCTGCCCCAACTGGTTGGCAGTGCTTGACCCTCATAGCCAGGGATCCCCAGCCCCGACCAGCCGTCTCCACTGGAAGATGGGCACGATGGGTGCTGATGTGGGTGGGGGTCTGCTTGGGGAGGTTTGTTTACAAGATCTCTTATTGATGGAGATTTCTAATATTCTTGAACATTCTTCTGCCATCCCCCTGCGCCCTCAAATCTATGACTAATTAGTTTCTGCAAATAAAGCAGTTAGTTTCAGCCTGATTTTATTCAGTCTGGCTGGGAGGCCAAGGGTAATTCTCTTGGAAGAATACCTAAATAAAAATTGTGCTTCTCAGAGCTAACCCTGAAGAGGACTCAAGCAGCGAAGTTTGGGGCACGCTCTACTTCCCACCAGGAGATTACTAATGACCTCTATTTTGATTAGAGAGACCAACCAACTAAATATCCCTCTTACCCCAGACCTGGCATTAGAAGCATCTGGAAACATGGGGTAAGCATAGTGAGAAGTTTCCCAACCTCAACCTTCTCCATTCCCTTGCTCCTGCAAACCAGGAGGCATGTCAGCTATAGTAAGATTTAAAAATCTAGATCGTGGCCATTGGAACCCCAGCAGTTGGTCTGTTAGATATTTGGAGATTAATTCCTTATCTTCCCAGTGTCTGGTTGTTGATTTGAGGAAATGGAGGGAGATAGGAAGTGAGGGGCATCCAAAAATGGATTTAGATCAATTTAGCCCCCTACCTCCCTCATTTTTCTGGTTCTTTTTTTAGATTGACCTTTACTGGACATTTCCAGGGTGGGACCCCTGCCCTTCCGCAGAAATAAAAAAGAGGAACTCAGTTGAGAATTCTTAATCAAACCCAGCTTAGCAGGCTTCCCACCACCTCCTACACTTTGTCCCTGCCCTGCAGACGTCAGAGATCTGGGAATCCTCAAGGGTGGTGTTTTCACGAGCCCGGAGAGGGAGGAGAAAATGGGGGCATTTCAAGTGTGAGGTGAGAAGGGGCTGACTTACTTGGGCAGAACCAGGAGGCGAGGCAGTCTGGTCATATTTCCTTTCCACTGGCTGATGAGTTGAGCATCCAGAACATTGGTGAGGGCAGAGAGGGGTACCTCCTTCTCATAGGGGGCAGCGATGAACATGCTGATAGTGTCTCCATGGTAGGGCAATTCCAGGATGTCGTAATAATGACCATCAGGAGTGGAAAACTCAGCTGTGAAGACAGGAATACAGCTCTCTTGTCCTCTCCACTCTTACTGGAAGCAAAGCTCCCCATCCCAGCTTCTGGGATCCCTGCCTCCTCATTTCCCTTCTCTCTTTTGCCAGTTCACAGGGTCTTCCGGTTTCTCTGTGGCTTTCTGGCCTTCTTTATTTACCTGCATTCTCCTTCCCCACACCCAGTCACAAACTTCTTTCCATCCGCATCCCCCTAAGCTCATCTTCCACATCGCCTTCCTCCTTGGCCCTAGGTCATCACACTAGAAACACATTAGGATGCAGTAGGGGTCAAGTGGTCAGGGGTCAGCTTGCATGAGATAAAGCTACTTTCTTCTGCTTAGATCGTCTCTGAAGCTGTCACTTGGGAAGTCTTTGTCAAAGCTGGGGCATGTTCTAAAGGTTCTTCTCCCTCAGTGGGGAATATTCACTGCAACCTTCCTCTCTAGGAGGGCACCGTGTGGGGTGTCTTCCCGCAGACCTGGGCCTGAGGTGCAGTAGTTGTAGGATGTGGGGGAGGAGGTCTTGCACTTACTGTAGCTGAACTTGTTGGTCTGCGCCATCATGGACACCGAGACGGTGCTGCCATCGGACTTGTGGAAGAGGCGGTGGTGGGTGCCCCAGGCTGGGAAGGGCATCTTCCACTGACCATTAAAGTACAGGGCATTCACCAGCACCAGGCGTGTCAGCTGGTCCACAGCCCCTTTGCCAAGTAAGTTGCTGATCATGCCTATGGAAAAGCCAGGTGATTAAGAATTTCATTGTTGTTGTGCAGCCCAACTAAAATTGTTGTTTTAAGTGCCTTCGGGTCGGTTCTGACTCATACTGACTCTCTATATGGCTTCTGGGGAGTGGCTGGTGAGTTTGAACCACTGACCTTAAGGTGCCGTGCTTATCCTACAGCGCCACACCCTATATGATAGAGTAGAACTGCCCCATAGGGCTTACTAGGCTGTGTCTGCCCTTTATGGTAGCTGAGCCACTGTGTGGGTTTGAACCACTGACATTTGGGTTAGAAACTAAGAGCTCAACTGAAGCTAGATAGTTTTCATTTTCTCGGATGGTTCCCTTCACTCCCCAGTCCTCAAATGGATGCATGCTGAAGGGTCTAGTCAGAGAGAGTGACTGGGAGCTTAAATGAGCCAATCCAGCTGCCACTAACCTGTCACATATTCCTCTGAAACTCAAAGTCACCCACTCACCACACTTTCTTGGTTCTGGGGACCTACCCAGGACCAGGCTCTGAAACGTAAGTCTTTCCTTACTTCCCCCTTGCTTTGTCTTGTAAACTGCAAGCTGCACTCAGTCTTCCTTGGTCTTCTCACTAAATTGCTCTTCTTACTAAACCCCATACTGTTTAGGGGTGCTGTTGAGGGATATCCTTGGACTTTGTTGCCAGAAATAGCAGCTATTATGCTTTGATTTTTAAAGCACTTGCCTTTCAGTACACAGAGAAGAGATTGCTGAGAAGTTGGGAGACTTGGATTTGTTTAAAAACTTCCAAGGCTTTGGCTTACCTTTCGTGTGTTTCTTCACGTAGTCATTGATGATGAACCTTGCTCTCTCCATTTCTGTAAAGTTCACCTGCTTGACCGTGCTCCGGAACAGCCTGAAGAAGTGGGGCATGAAGCCCTCAACAAGCTTCAGGTCCCGCTGGATGAAGATAGCATCGGTCGTGCTGATCTCTTCCTTGTTTGATGGCCCCATGAGCTCCTTGTATAGCCGACGGAGGCCAGGGGCCATGCCCTTTTCTGCACCGAGCGGGGAGGAGAGGACTCATGATTAGGCTCCTGTTAAGCAGACAGCTGACTTCCTCTGTGAGAAGCCCCCAACCCTGTCCAGATACATGGGGCTCTCCTACTTCAAGGGGTCTCCAAGGGTGATTATTTCTTTCCTGCATCTTCCTCCTTTCCTCAGAAGTGTCAGTTTCTAGTCCTTCCTTTGGGTTAAAATATTTTTATCTGTTCTTAAGTTATGAACCCTGTTTGTTTCCTTCTTCTAATAATAGCTATGTTTAGCATTTCACACATATCACTCTATTTATCCCTTACATGGGTAGCTCTAGATGGTGGGTTCTTTTATTGTCCCCATTTTGTAGATGAGTAGAGTGAGGTTTAGAAAGTTTAGATAACTCATCAAAAGCCATGTAGTTAATAGTGGTGAGAAAAGTCTATTTTACACCAAATCCACTGGCCTGTATGCCCTGGAACTGGTCAAAGGCCAAGTGGTTCAGGGTGTGGTCACTATATCATAGCTGTACACGTGCTAGCTGGGTCAAGCTGGAGGCAGACGCTTCCCAACCCCTGTGAAATCTGCACGTCTCCCGGTACCCATCTCTCACCGTGAATCTTGAATCTCATTGCTGCCTGGAGTTGCTGCCGGGTGTCACCTCCTGTTGCTACCTGCAGCATGGCCAGCACTGAGGCCACCCCATAGGGTGAGAAAACCACATTGCGGTCCTTGGAGGCCTGAACCACCTGCCGAAACACCTTTACACCAAAGTCTGTGGCCAGGTGAGCTGCTTGGGACTCGGATAAGGCAGACCCTTCGCCAACGATGAGGGCCAGGCCCAGAGCGAGGCAGACGGTGACTGGAGACATCTGCATCCTAGAGCAAGTGGAAATGAATCTGATGAGGGGATTGTTCTGGAAGACTGAAAAGTGGGGAGAGGAGATGGCACCCCAGCCGTACACCGGCACTCCCCTTGCCTGATGCTGGCTGGTGATGGGCGAGGTGAGGGCATAATTTTAATTTCAAGCCTGCCAACTCTGTCTCAGACTGATTTTCATCACCAGTCAAGCCCTAGAGAGATTTAAGCCCATTCTTTTGTTGTTGTTGTGAAGTGTCGTCAAGTCGATTCCGACCCATAGCGACCCTGAATAGGGTTTCTGAGGAGCAGCTGGTGAGCTTGAACCACCGACCTTGCAGTTCAAACGTCTTTGCAGTCTGGCGCATTAACCCACAGCGCCACACCAGGACTCCAAGCCCATTCGTCGTGGTTCTGAATTCCTCACCTGTTTCTCCTTCTTGGGGTTGAAAAGGAAAATTATAAAATTATCTTTGAATTTCCTGACGCTTCAAAATTCTCTTATAATGCCTTTACAGTTGCAAGCTGTCGTCCTTGCTAGCTGCTATCATGTTGGTTCAGCTCATGGTGACGCCAGTGAAACCTGCCATCGTCACCCACCAACCTCCCTCGACAGGTGGTGGTGAGTGAGCATAGATTGCACTGGTTGGGGGTGTCAAACCCGGGTCTCCTGTATGAGAGGTGAGGATTGAACCCCCAATGCCAGAATTCCAGTTCACAGGCATGAAAATCCCTCTTGGGAGAGGAGGGAGGGTCGTGTTGGAAAGGGGCAGAGAGAGTTGTTGGCAGGGCCTGGCTACCTTCTACGTTCCGGTAAGGCAGGACCAGCTCAAGGATGCAGGGGCTCTTAGGGGACCCTCTGAGGAAACAGAGGGAAGGAGGCTGCAGGGAGACTCGCTCTCTGCTCAAGTCCCAGCAGTTTGTCTTACCTGAAGTTCTCCAAGTGCTTGGGGATGGTTTACCCAGCTGCTGTTACTGCAATACTGTCTGGGAAGTCGAGATGCTCCTGTTCTGTGAGGAGTGCTGATTGCTGGATAGGGACCCGACTCCCTGCAGCCTCTGGTTCCTGAGCCAGATGCAACTGTTTCTCAGACTGGCCCTCCCTTTATACCACCAGATCGGGCAGGAAGTAGATAACTCATATTCTGGCCCCGCCCACCATTAGGCTCTGGAAGTCTGTCTACCCAGCTGGCTGGGTCCCCTGACACCGCCCTCTCCAGGACTTGCTGAGACATGTGTGTGTACGTGTGTAACAGGGCTTGGGGAAATTGAGCAAACCCTGATTGTTCTACCCTAAGGTCCTCTCGTGATTTTTCCACCCTCTGCCTTTGTCCCTGTCTTTTCTGATGTTCTGCCAGCTGGACCCTGGCAGTGCCAGGTGGCCAGAAATGCCCAGTGTTTGAAGTTACCTTCCCTGGTGCTTAGCTTGGGTAAAAAGAGGTGCTATGTTCCCCATTTCCCTTGAAGAAATGGCTAACAGTGTATTATCAAAGAAGCTAATGTTCCTGTGGACTCCCCCCCCCCCCAGTATTTTGCTCATGCACCAGCCATGGTCTAGGATGTGAGGTTCACTGTCTCCTCTCTCTGCCCCTGCATGTGATGATGCAGGGCTGACTCCCTCAGGTGGCATCCCAAAGGCTCCTTTTGTGTCAACAGCCCTGTCTGGCTGGCGTTTGAGGTGTACTGGGAGGGGTGGTGGAGTCTGAAAGGGACCAGGGTTACCAGGGTAAAGCTTTGGCAAGAAATTGGGAACCCAATGTAAAGTCTTGTTTTGTTGAACTGCCGGCTGTGATGGGGGGAGGCTGTGGTTACAGATATTTGGAGGCTACAGCAGTGAAGTAGGAAGAGAAAGGGAAGAGTCAGAGTGTGGTGAATTTGTGGTGGATTTGGGTGTCAGAGAGGAGAGTGGCCAGTGTGTTCTCTAGAGGGTGGGAATGGGCTAAAGGTGAGTGTGTGGGACAGGATTCATGCGTTTGGAAGTTTGGATGGATCAGGACCCCCTGACTGTGTGGCCTGGATTTTGTGGGGTACCTGAGGGGCTCTCAGCTGGTGGGTGGCACATGTGGCCCTGGGGTCCACACTGTGTTATGTTTTATGTAGGTTGTAGGGTTCAAACTGGAGTATCCCTGGAGATATTTGACAACAGAGTCACAGGAAGTCTAAGCAAGTGGGTGGTAGCATCAGGGTATTTGTTTGGGTTTTATTTTTAGTAAACAGATACCAAGAGCAACCACAGCTGAAAGTTTTCTCATTTTTCCTGGGCTTCAGACTTTGTTTTCCCCGTTGCCCCTGGGAGCAAAGTGGGCGTGGGGAAAGCTCTGGTGGAAAGTCAGGATCACACACAGGTGACAGGACAATTTCTGTGAACTGGACCTTGTATGTGTCCTTTTCCTTTTCTGTACTGTGGTTTGGATTCCCTGAGTGGGTGGTTAGCCATGAGGTATAAGTCACTGCTCCAACCTCCAGCCCTGACCCCCTGAAATGTCCTCAGGAGAGGGATAGGGATCTAGGAGGCTGGGCTGGGAGCACCAAACCCTAAGGAGTCGGAAGAGCATTGTCTCCAGGCACAAATAGAAGCGGCTTCCATGAGGTGCCCCAACCCTTGACCTCTCCAGCCACCTGGGTTCAGTCCCCATCCTGTCTTTTGTCTGTCATGCCAAGAGCTCATTGCCCAAGACTTGGTAAGCGTGTCATAAAAGCCCAGTTGTTTTCTGTGGGTGGCCTATGTCCTGTCAGGGAGTGACCACTTCTGTCCTGTCCACAGACCTGGTGGATTTCCCTGAAGCCTTTCCAGAAGAACACGGCTTTCTACGTCCTTGGGAGTCCATCTCAGAGAGAGAGAAACGGCTCATGTAGTAAGGGCCATTCCCAGTCTGGAAGATGCTAGTGAGGAAATAGTGGCTGTGTGCTAGAAACTCAACTCAAACCTAGCAGACTGGCTCTCAGGCGGACACGTTGAACTTTGCTTTGACCTGGTCAACCTGGTGCCACCTACATATCCTAGAATCAGACTTGACCAGGATCCCGGCTACTTTTCTCTACAGGTGGCCTTGCCTCCACCTAGTCCACCCCCTGTAGAAGTGGGAACCTTCTACACCTGAGGGCACTGCTGTCGGCGGGAGCGGAACTCCTGTCTTTTCACACGTTGCTGCAACACCTCAGAATCCCGCCTGAGTCAAGGGGCCGCCATTTTCCATCTTTTTCCTGAACCCCAAACTAATGCCTTGACCCAATCATCTCATTCAAGCCCCAGCAATTTTATAAGGGGTCAAAGGGACAGAAAGTGAAAAGTCCCTGTTGTTGAAATGTCTTGCTCACTGGTTGAAAGATAGCCAGTGTCCAAGATAAGAGGGTGAGTTACAGGGCTTTGGTTTTCTAGGGGAAGTTCCAATTATAGCCAACAGGGAAAGATGTTTCTGTCTGCCCAGAGCAGGTAACTCGTGATGAGACCAGACACTCTATTTCTGTGACTGTCTGACACGTCCTCCCCTTTCACGTCCATGGGTCCTTGAGTGAATTCAGGTTTCCAGGCTACCCCACCATCTTCCCTCCATCCATGATGCCTTGCCCTCGAGTTACCCTGTGGCCTCCCCTTGCTCCTCCTCTTTCTTCTCGTTTGTCTCTTCTATCCCACACCTACTCCCCTGTTCACTTTCCCTTCTCAGTCTGAGACTCTCTCCTGGGAATCTCCCAGGATTCCTGGTTTGCCTCCCTTTCTTCCCTCCTAGAGATCTTCCCCCCTTTTCCCGTGCTTTCTGACTCAATCCGTCCTTCCCTCTCCCATCTTTCAGAACCCCTTTTACAGTCAATGCGCTGCTTCAGGCCTTCCTGTGGGGAAAAGAGGCTAGCCTAGGATCGGTTACACAGGCTCCCTGGAATGTTGGAGGAGGCTCTGGATTCTGGATGATTTCACTGGGAGACCTGGGGGTTGGACCAGAGGGTCCTACTAACTCAGAACACTATTTCTGGTCTGGTGGCTCTCCAAATAACACAGCACCAAAAATAGCCTCTGTTTGGGCCTGACTCTCCCAGTATTATAGGAGCGGGGCCAAGGGGTGTGTTCCGCCTCTCTTCATCTAAATCCAAAGTCTGGCCAACAGAGATCCCTCCTCCAGGCTCCCTGACACACTTCCCCTTCCTTTGCATACAGACCCCTGTCCTCTTTCTCTAGGCATAGCCAGCCACCTCTCTAAACCTCCAAGATGCGCCCCCAACGACACACACAACATTTCCTTGCATTCATTTGCTTTTTCCCTCTCACAGAGTTTCAGAGCTGGGAGGGGCATTTTTTTAAAGAAGCGTTTTCTTTTACCCGTGAGGGACAATTGGGTTCCGAGGGGTTAAAGGGTGTGTTTAAGGTCCTACGATTGATAGCGCCATAAATGGAGAATCAGTGGCCACAGATCAGACAGGCTTCAAGTCTGGGCTCTGACACTTGGCAAGTCCGATTTCAGGTAAAACGCAGCTTTTTGAAGCTTCCGGTTTCTCATTTGTATAAGGTGGATAATGATTTCCATCTCCCAGGGCTGTCCTGAGCCTTCAATGAAATATTGTCTGTAAAATGCCCAACACATAGGAGTTGGTAACAAGAGACCAGGACTGGAAGCCAGACAATTTGAATTAGTTACTGATAGAACGCAAACTCCTTGAGGAAAGACTATCTTAGGCATTCCCGAGCACTACCTCTGCATTCAGCGGAAACCTGGCATTAAATGCCTCCCATTTCCACCCTGTCCCCACTCACTCCCACAAGCCTCCTCTGCCAAGTCTAGGCCCCAGGAAGATATATCTGTGGACCGGGCTATGTGATTCTAAGTGGCCCCCCTTGTCATAGAGATGTGTATCCTGGCCCCTTACTCATATGTGAGGCGGTGGGAAGTTGTTTTCCCAAGAGCTGAGGCTAGACCTTTCAGACCTGTCCCCTGTCAACCACATTGCCTACTCCCATTGATCCTCCAACCACATGATTCTCTCTCTAGACTGCATCCCATTGCTTGTTTCAGGATCGTCGCGGTCCTT